AATTGACTTTCTAAACTCAGGGAGAAAATTATAAATCACAGGATAACTTCAAAGAAAAATGATAAACCTTCACATCACAATAAAAAAGAGAATAAGCAAAAATATTTAGCAAATACTAAAATAATAGCAACAAAGGAATTGATAACATGATTCATAAACAAAATGAGCTCAGCATAGACAATTATATGGAACAAAGAAATCAGCAACACCATGAAAAACACCTAACAAGATGACAGCAACCAATTCATACTTGTAAATAATTACACTGAATGTCAATGAATTAAATGCACCACTCAAGAGACGGAGACTTTTGCATTTCAATCACCAGCCTGGATTGCAACTGGAGAGTTTAAGACCAGATAAGAAAACATAATCCATCAATATGCTGTTTATAAGAGACATACCTTAAAGACAAAGACAAAAATAGACAAAAAATCAAAGGTTGGAAAAAGATATATCAAGCAAATGGCAACCAAAAAAGAGCAGGAGTGGCAATATTAATTTCTGATAAAATTGGCTTTAGGACAAAAACCACCATAAGAAATAAAGAAGGAAATTATATAGTGATTAAAGGATTGACTGAAAAAGAGGACATAATAATAATATCTAAGCACCCAATGAAAGAGCCCCAAAATATGTAAATCAGACTTTAACAGAATTGAAAAGAGAAATAGATGAATCCACAGTCATAGTAGGAGACTTTAATATACCACTTTCAATCAAAGATAGAACAACTGGAAAGAAACTCAATCTAACCAAGCTCAGGCCAAGTACATTCCTGGCAGAGTGACAAAACTAACCAATCCCAACATCAGTGTTCCACACACCTTATTTGCATGGTCCCACCCAGTAATCTGGTGGGAGTCACAAAGACTACAGCTAGGAAAGTTATATCAAGTAATTCACTGCACCACAAGTTCTTTCAGCTTGAGAAATGCCAAGCATATTATTCCCTTTTGGTTTTCTAGCTCTAGTTCTTTGCACATCTCATTAAACATTATCTTCTTGAGGCACCATTTGAAGTCTTTTGTTCAGCTCTTTTACTTTACCATTTCTTCCATTTGCTTTAAAAAAAGAAAAAAAAAAAGAAAAGAAAACCAAACTCACTGCCATCGAGTCGGATCTGACTCACAGCAACCCCTCCTTCGGTTTCTGAGGCAGTATCACTATGGAAGTAGATTGCCCAACCGCCATTTGCTTTAGCTACTCTATATTCAGGGAGGTCTGGTGGTGTAGTGTCTATCTAAGGCATTTGATTGCTAACCAGAAGGGTGGTGGTTCAAACCCACCAGCCACTCCTCAGAAGGAACATAGGGTAATCTACTTCCGTAGAGATCAAAGTGTCTTCTGACATCCATTTTGGTAGTTTCTTTCTTCCTTGTCTTTTTAATGACCTTTTGCTTTCTTCATGTGTGACATCCTTGATGTCATCCCACAACTCTCCTGGTCTTTGGTCACTGGTGTTCAATGCATCAAATCTATTTTTGAGATGGTCTCTAAATCCAAGTGGGATATAATCAAGGTTGTATTTTGGCTTTCCTGGACTTTGAAAAGTTTTCTTCAGCTTCCATTTGAACTTGCATATGAGCAATTGAGGGTTTGTTCCACAGTCAGCCCCTGGCCTTATTGTGACTTATACTATTGAGCTTCTCCATCACCTCTTTCCACAGATGTAGTCGATTTGATTCTTGTGTATTTCTTCTGGCAAGGTTCACTTGTATAGTCACCATTTATGTTGTTGAAGAAAAGTATTTGCAAAGAATGTCATTGGTCTTGCAAAATTCTATCATGTGATCTCCTATGTTATTTCTATTACCAAGGTGCTATAATATATATGTACACACACACACACACACACATGTGATTTTGCTGAAAGTTAAAAAAGCTCATTTTCCATACAACAGTTTATACACATTTTGTTCCATGACATTGATTGCAATTCCCATAATGCAACAGCACTCTTCCTACTTTCTCCCTATGGTTACCTTTTCCTGGTGTCGTGTCTTTCTTTCCTATGCATTGCTGCCCTTTGAGCTATGTCCCTGTGCAAATACTGCCCTTCTGATCTCCCATGGTTGATTGCTCTACTCAGTGTACGTCCCTGGTGTAAATGTTCACCTTATATGGAAGGCCATATTTTTTAACTACTAATCCTTCTTCTTTATTTCCAACTTTTGCATTTCAATCACCAATAATTATCAATGCATCATGATTGCATGTTTGATCAATTTCAGATTGCAGAAGTTAGTAAAATTCTTCAGTGTCTTCATCTTTGGCTTTAGTATTTGGTGCATAAATTAGAATAATCAACCCAGCATCTAAAAACAATGGAACTAACCACTGAGTGCAATGAAAAGAAATTCCTATATACCAAATATGCCCCAAACCTGGAGGACTGATCCTTTATTAAGAAACAGAAGAGAACATCTGGGTTAGAGGAGGAGACACAGTTAATGTAAAGGAACTAAATTCTTCTTTTTTTCATAGTGAGAATATCTATATACTGTCTTTTGTTGTTGTTGTTGTTATGTGCCGTCGAGTCGGACCCACTCATAGCGATTCCTCCTTGGGTTTCTGAGGCAGTATCACTACGAAAGTAGATTGCCCTATCTTCCTTCTGAGGAGTGGCTGGTGGGTATGAACCACCAGCCTTCTGGTTAGCAGTCAAGTGCCTTAGGCACTATGCTACCAGAGCTCCCATATACTGTCTAGATTTATATATTAAGAAGTAGAACTATAAGGAAATTACTTAGCATTATGCTGGCAATCGTCATCACAAAACTCTGAAACTTTTAAAGCCTTTATCTCAGAGGGATGGAACTCAGCAGGGTTGGATATGGAGGAAGATTTTCATTTAGAGTTTCTTTCTACAATTGAGGCACAGGTGCCAAAGCGGGCTGGCTTAAAGCTTGTTAATATGATATCCAGATATGTTTATGTACATGATCCCTGTTCTCCACAGTACCAATACTTCAGGAATGCACTTGACCTGAGCTTGATTAGATTGAGAGGGCTGAACATCACGTGTGAGAAATTTGTTCAGGCCAAGTTGTGGGGAGTTCGGAACCCTAGCAATGACACTGTATAAATGAAACAAAACAAAACAGAACATAGTTTCTGTGAAGTCAATTCATGGCAATCCCATGTGTTGCACAAACTGTGCTCCATAAGGTTTTGAAAGCCGTGACCTTTCGGAGGTGGATCCCCAGGCTTTTCTTCTGAGGTGCCTCTGGATGGGTTTGAACCGCCAGTCTTCCAGTTAGCAGTTGAGTACTTCACTGTTTGTGCCACCCAAGGACTCCTTCAAACACTCTATACATGTCATAATTCTGACCCATGTGCATTGGTTCTCCAGCCTCCTTCATGTGAGGCTGGGTTTGAGAGCAAACAGCTGAGCTTTGCGAAGGACTTTTATGTTGCTCACTCACTCACATGTGACCTTTTAAACTCTGAGTCCTCACAGATGAGGATTTGGTTCTATCACCTCCACGTGCCTCAGAGGTTGACCTTGCTGTGTGTTGACATCCTTTTAGGTCTTTAGATAACAGACTGGCTTAATTTGCCCAAGTAATATCTGGCCTTTAGACCAAGAATCAACTACAGATAGTGGTCAATTGGTGGTCACACAACCCTCTACAGATTAAAGTCTTAAAATTACCACTACCATGTTATAGACTTTAATAAATAAAATAATACCAAAATATAAAACCAAACAAAATTCATAGCATTCTCTAGATAAATGACAGCCTGATGGGGTGGGCTATTTTCCCAAAAAAACAAGTATTTGTGCAATGTTGTTAAACAGGGGACAAAACATATCCTATGTTCAGGGCTCCTCTCATCTTATTTTACAGTTGCTTTGACGCATTGGCACAGGAAAAAAGAAATACACGGTTATAAAATCGGGAAAATATGAAGTCATTCTAAGAATTCTCACTACTTCCCAACTACACACAGCTCAGGACAACGCAAACTTCACACACGTGCAAGTTTCTCTACTGGTTAGATTACAATATGCTCAAGGGCAGGGATCCTTTTATACTTGTGTTACATCTCTTACAAGGCAGCGTGAATGCATTAAAAGCAAAGCTTGAGCAATACAGGTGTAACACTAGATTGAGGGAGACAGTATGTACTATGGTTTAAGTGTGTGGGTCTGGTAACAGATGGATGTTGTAATTCTTGGCTAAATCATTTCACTTTAGGAAAATTAAAAAACCCATCACAAGTACATAGGATGTGTTGGGTATACAAAAGACGTGGCAGTGAAGTAAGTGGACAGCATTTCTGCCCCCAAAGTCTTCAACAGTCAAAAATTTCATACACCACAGAAGAGTTTATCTGTAAAATAAAACTCAGTTAAGTACTAGAGACACTCTGGCAAAGCACTGCAGGCTAAAATTTGGGTTTCACTTCCTTATCACATGCCGCCCTTCTCTTCTAAAAGGTCGGCTCACCTAGCTCCCCCTTCCAGAGCCTACTAAGCGCCTACTTGTATGTGTGAGGGAAGGGCCCCAACCAGGGAGGCTATGCCGGGTTTCTGGCCCATACGCAGCCAGCATTCCCTGGGGTAGAGCCTGGAAGAGGCCTCCTTTTAGGGTCCATAACCCGTTACCGCCAAGACCCAGAGTACTAGCGCCGGCCAGCGTCAACCAGCCTTGAGCTCCTATTGGCTAACTTCTCTCGGAAACGCACTCTTTTCCCGTCCTCTCACGCGGCTGTCCGATGCGCGCCTTTCTGCTCCACTCCGCTCCGCCCCCGCCACCCCGCCTCCCTGTCGGATTCTCGCCATTGGTGGAACTCAAGGGCTGTGATGGCGGCGGTGCGCTTGCGCGCTCCTTCCAGTGCCCTCCTCGCCGGAGGAGGAGCTAGCGGTCCGGGGTTCTCGGAGACCGCTAGCGCTCCGTGGGGCGAAAGGGCCGTAGCGGCTGCTGCGGCGGCGCTGGGCGTGGCTGGGATCCAGGGCAGCCGGCCCGCCGGGCAGCAGTGTGCCAGCAAGCCGCTGAGTAGCTGAGCGGCTCTAGGGCTGGGCGGGGCGGAGCCGGCAGAGCTCAGCGCCCGCGCTGAGCTGCCCGCTCCGGCGGCTGAGCTGCTCGCCCGCGGCGACTTCGCGCCGGGGTCTCCAGCATGACCGAGCTAAGGCAGAGGGCGGCCCGCGAGCCGGACGCACCGCCCGAGGACAAGGTAGAGGCGGTGTCGGAGTGATCGCGGCTTGGGGCCTCGGCGCTCCCCAGAGGCCCGCGGGGGGCGCGCGCAATGGGGTCGTCTCACCCTCTGACCCTTTGTCGCAGCTGAAGGCGGCACTGGGCCTGGGCAGCGCCGAAGGTCCTTGGGTGTGGGGCCAGCGGAGCGCGCGTCGTGGCTCATAGATCGTGGTGCCCAGACCCTCGGACTCGGCTTGGAGTCTGGTTGCGGAGTGGTATTACCCGGGCGCATGAAGGAATGCGCTAGGGTTACGCATCGCCGCTGGCCAGGGGACTGGTTGGAGGTTCCCTTATTCCCCACTTCACCGAAGCCTTGCTGGGTGTGAAGACGCCTTTACTCTGCAAATCCTTCAGTAGGAGGCGGCTTCTCTGAATGCCACTTAGGTTTTTCACTCCCTTTTAAAATTTGTTACTATTAATTTTTTGTGGGGTGATCAAGACAAGGGCATAGGATTTACCTCCTAGAAGATTTTAATCCCTTCTTGAAAGTTAAACCTGTTGGATTTAAGCAGAAAGTCCCCTTTACACAAGCAGTGAACCAGCTTGTTGGCCAGCAGGTGTTGGAAGGTACATTCCGAAAGGATGGGCTTGTTGCCTGCTCCAAGTGAGAGTAGAGAGGGTAAAAAGGAGGCCATCTTGGCTGGGGGTGAAGAAGAGAGTAAAACTCCTTTGGTTGAAATGAAAGGTTTGTGTAGGGGAGTTGAAGGAGGTGGAGCGTGTTTGTGTATGGAGGACATTGAAGGACAGAGTTGGGATTTTGGTGTGTGCTTTTCGAGTTAGCAGTGGTCAGGAGCAAGTGTATTTGGGAAATTCATCTGGCAGTGATGTATAGAACGGATAGGAGGGAGTCTGAAACAGAATGAGATACAGTTTAACTCAAGGGTTGCCACAAGGTGAAATGCAAATACTTTTCCTTGGTCCACACGTTATTCTAGACATTAGAAGCTTTTCCCCTACCCGTATGAATTTGCTTATCTTGGGTCCTTGGACAATCAACCATCACATCCCCACTTGATGGACGATTGGCCAGAGCTGTTGCCTTGCATCAGGCCCCCAGCACCCACTTACAGAGGCTGTGGTTTTTGATGACTAGAGGAAAGTGGCCTTAGAGAGACCTCAGGAAGGAAGAAAGCACAAGATTTGGCAACAGGGTATCAGTGGAGCAGTTACACTCACAGGAATGTTGACAAGAGTAAGGATATGTGTATGTGTGTGTGCGTGAAGTGAGTCCGGCTTGTTTGAGGTGAAAGATAAAGGGGTTGTAATATTTCAATTGTTGCTGTTGACAATGGGTCATCCAAAGAGAACTGCACATAGTGATTCTTAGAATTTCAGATTTTAGAAATTTAGAATTTTAGAGGATTGGGGGCTGGGGATACAGATTTAGGAGTCACCTGTAGAGACAGGGTTGGTCTTGCGGAGCCCAGTTTAAGGTTCTGGATGAGAGCTCCGACTTGATGCTAATAGAATAGAGGGTGTGAAAAACTCAGAACAAAACACTCAAACCCATTGCTGTAGAGTCAATTCCAACTCATGGTGACCCCATGTGTGTGTTATAGATAGGACTGCTGTTTAGGGTTTTCTTGGTTGTAATCTTTAAGGAAGCAGATGTAGTGGAGTGCAAACTGTATGCCCCACCCAGGGACATAATAACTATACCTACTAATGGTTAAAAAGAAAACTATGGGGTCCTCCTTGGGTCTCTTGTGCAGAGATAAACTGCCAGTTGATTAAATTCTTTATTGGCCCATGTTTAGGCGCAAAGGATATGAGGAGCTCTTCACCTAGGGGTGCCTTAACAGTTAACAATTGCACTTACACCATTCCTGCAGTGCAGAGTGGCTGTGGTTGGGAGGTCACTAGTTGTCTGTTGTTTCCTGAAACACAGCAGTGACTGCATTTTGTTAAAAGCCTGATGTATGTTGTAGTCCATTAGCCTAGAACAAGGCAATCAGCCCTGCTTCCCCATTACTCTGCATTTCTAAATTATCATGGATAATTTTTAATAGGACACGTTTTAGGGACTGTATAATACATTTTTGCCTTTCACGTATGTATGTAGTAGAATTTTTCAAAATCTTTATCTTTTTTCTACTTTGTCATTTGGGAAAAAACATACTTCTGGGATTCTGGCTTTACCAATATCTTTGTGGTAGAAGTTGCCCTGGTGGTACCATCTTTAAAGCACTCTGCTGGAAAACTGAAAGGTCAGTGGGTTCACACCCACCAGCCACTCCACGGTAGAAAGCTGTGGCAGTCAGCTCCTTTAAATATTAACGGTCATGGAGACATATGTTAACTTTGGTGATGGAAAGATAATACACAAAATGGGAGAACCGTCATGGAGACATATGTTAACTTTGGTGATGGAAAGATAATACACAAAATGGGAGAAGTCAGCACATGACCAAGGCAAAGGAAGACACTGGGAAGTATACAGAAGTAAAAGGCAACAATGGTAGATACAATTCCATTATACTCCTGCAGCAACAATAATAACAAACAGTAATTTAGGAGTGGATACACAGTAGATATGTAAAGTGAACAGATGTGGAATGGCATATGGAAGTACAACCACATATATAGGTTCAGCAGTGGCTATCTCTACATACATATTTGTATGTTCTGCAAATACCTCCATGTATATAATAGAACACACAAGAGGCATACTCAGATAAACTTCTCAGCCATAACCAAACACCTCATGGGCCTGAGTTACTGGGCTTGAAGGCTGGAGATTTTAGCCTTTGGAACATCTGGGTCAATTGGGATAACATAGTCCATAAAGACAGTGTTTTATATCCCACTTTAGTGAGTAGTGAGTGGAGTATTAGAAGCTTCCAAGTGACCATCTAAAATACAACTACTGGTCTCATTCTGTCCAGAGCAGAGAAGAGTGAAGAAAACCGAAGACTCAAGGAAATAATGAGTTCAGAGAACTAATGGACCCCACAATCCACAGCCTCTACAAGCCTGAGACCAAAAGAACCAAATGGTACCCTGGCTGCCATTGCTGACAGCTCTGATTGGGATCACGGTAGAAGGTGTCAGACAGAGTGAGAGAAAAATGTGAAACAAAATTCAATTTAATAAAGAAGACCAGACATACTGGTCTGATAGAGACTGATGGAACCCCGGAGACTAGGCCTGTTAGATACTGTGGTAGTTACATTTGTGTGTCAGCTTGGTTGGCCCTGGTTGAGTGGCTGGGCAGCTGGTGCTAGTTATTCCCTGTGATGAGACTGGCAGTCAACTCCATGGTGGGATCTACCACCAGCAGCTGAGTTGCCTTTGGGCTGTGGTCTGCTTCCTGTATATGAGGAGAAGCCTTGGGGATAGTCTCTAGCATATGGCATGCCTGGATCCTGCATGTAGCCGTGTCGTTGCACAGCAGCCTGTTATGTTCTGCTGACCTTGGGACTTATAATGAACTTAAGTTAATGGCCTGCCATGTGGTTTGGTAACATTGGGACTGTGCCTTTTTATTTGTCAACCTTGGGCTTCGCAGCCTCAGCAGCCAGCAGCTGTCTGAATGAAGAAACTCCTCTAGCTCCAGTGAGCCGGGAGCAGGAGGCGGAGCTGGACCCCAAGGTTGAGGGGCTTTCATCCAGCCCCTAGAGCCTGGCACTTTGAACTTGGACTTAAAACCTCCAAATTGTAAGAATAAACTCCTGTTTGTTAAGGCCATCCCATTTGTGGTATATTTCTTGCCAGAGCGGCACTAGGTAACCAGAACAGATACCCTTTAGACTCAGAATTGGACACGTTCCCTAAGACCACCTTACAGCCAAACAGTAGACAGGTCTATAAAGTGAATGGTAACACCCATGAGCAGTGTGATCCCCAGAACAGTTATGTGTAGGAAACTTCCAAAAGGGCAACACTTGCCCAGAAGCAGAATTCAGAAAGCAGGAAAACTAGGTGAATGGAAACTGAGAATCCAAGGTGGAAGTGGGGAGAATGCTAACACATTGAGGGGATTGCCACCAAAGTCATGAAAATTCTGGAATGGGAAATAAATGTGTAAACTTTCACCTAAACAATAATAAAATGTTAAAAAAGAAAAAAGATAAAGTAACTAGCATGTTGCTGGACACATCCAGAGCACTTAGTAAATACCGTATTTACACACACACACACACACACACGCACAGGCAGTCAGACGAGAGATTTACAGCCTTGGAAATCCTATGGGGCAGCTCTACTCTGTCCTACAGGATTGCAGTGATTTGGAATTTACTTGACTAGAGTGGGTTTGGTTTTTTTTGTGGTAGAATCCAAGGACATTAGAAATAATAAGGATGTCTTTTTAGGGAAATGAATTGGGGAATGGGAACTGACTTTCTTATTTTACAGGAGAAGAATTTAGAGAACAGTTTCAGGTCAGTTCTTTAAAAGAACTGGAACAAATTTGAAAGATTCATTGAAATGTTACAGTTGCTTAACTGCTGTGGCACTTGGTAAATAAGCAGACATCATTAGTTTCAAAATAATCTGGAGAATGTGTTTATTTTAAAAGTCAGAAAGTATTATATTTAGTATCTAAGAATGGACTTTTCAAAGCTAATTGCTTATAAAGGAAATGTTTCCCTCTGGGAACAGTGCTTATAATTTTAGTGTCCCAAAGCAGTATAGTTGCCAAACTAAGAAATTTGGAATTCAAGCATTGGGAATGATCCTGCCCAACCATGTTTTTCTGGCGGAGATTAGGAAAGAAAAGGATGAGACAAGGGCTTAAGGATTGGCACCTTAAACCTTACGATTGAGTTCCCATTTCAGGAGACTTTGTTTTGGAGGTTACAGTGAAGTGAAGGTCTTAGTCTTTTCTGTTTTATGTAGATGCTGAAAACCCAAAAGCCAAAAACCAGACTCGCTGCCATCGAGTTGATTTCAACTCATAGTGACCCCCCCTTGGGTTTCCGAGGTGTTAAGTGTTTGCAGAAGTAGATTGTCCCATCTTTCCGTGGAGCTGCTGGTGGG